ATGAATATTCATAAGATAAATTGAACTGGTTTTTCAACTGGTAAATCAACTGGTATTCGTACTGGTTTTCAACTTGTAAATCAACTGGTAATTATCTACTGGTTTTCAACTGGTAAATCAACTGGTAATCTTACTGGTTTTCAACTGGTAAATCAACTGGTAATCATCTACTGGTTTTCAACTGGTACTCATCTACTGGTTTTCAACTGGTACTCATCTACTGGTTTTCAACTGGAATCAACTGGTAATCATCTACTGGTTTTCAACTGGTAAATCAACTGGTAATCATACTGGTTTTCAAATGGTAAATCAACTGGTAATCATCTACTGGTTTCAACTGGTAAATCAACTGGTAATATCAACTGGTCTCAGATGTCAACTGGTATTTCTACTGGTTTCCAAATTGTATCAACTGGTATCAACTGGTATCAACTGGTACCAGTTAAGACCAGTTGAGACCAGTTGAGACCAGTTCAAACCAGTAGATACCAGTTGGAAATCCTTACTGGTTTCAACTGGTATCAACTGGAATTTCGACCTGGGATCTGATTTTGTATTTGTCTTCCTTTCTATTTGTGCACTCATATTTTCGAAATGGGTGGTAGCATGCTTCCTTTGAAATGTGAAGGTGGGAATCCCGTTCATATATATCTTTCCTTTGCGTGCTTACACTAAAAGTGAACAATGGCAAATTCTGGTCTGAATGGTTTATCAGATCGAGTAGATGAAAAGAATATCATTACCTTTGACCTCTAAATCATAAAGCATGGCATGATTTTACACTCTGTCTGTATGTTGTAATACTCGGGTAAGATGGAAAGGTATGACGTAGTATGGGTATAGTTAGCAAGGCATGGTGTATCGGTAGTGGTTAGGGGATATGGGTATAGTTAGAAAGGCATGGTGTATCGGTAGTGGTTATGTTTGATACGCTTGTGACAGAGATCAAGATTTATTCTTTACTAAGATTTGTGCAGTCACGAGGCACCCTATACTTGTTTTTTTCGAATTCGCATGTTGCTCAAAGATTTGCACTTACCAAAACAAATAAAATATAAAAAAATGAAGAAGGAAAGAAAGATAGAAAGAAGAGAAAAGACAATATATAATTAATATTATTCTTTGTCTCTTAAACTATCTGCACTGTCCATCCTGTTCCTTCTCTTCGTTTTCCAAATGTAAGTTTCTTCATCATTTATTTACAGTTTTATTTCGGCAGGGTTGCCTCTTCAGTTATAATATAAACAACGCAGATAAAGAGAAGGAGGATGGGATTGGGTGTGTATGTGTCTGTGTCTGTGCGTGAGAGAGGGAGAGAGAGGAGAGAGAGAGGGAGAGAGAAAGAGAGAGAGAGAGAGAGAGAGAGAGAGAGAGAGAGAGATAAGGAGATAGAGAGAGAGAGAGATAAAACTTGTTTACCTGTACAGGATATATATATATATATATATATATATATATATATATATATATATATTAATTCCTTAACCGGTAATGTCTCCGGAAAGTACAACAACAGTTATGCATAAGCTGCTTTAAAACATTCGAGTGATGGGACTAACCTCTGATCGGAATTTAAATGATTCCATTGTTTCGACTCGAAGTACTGACAAGTTCGTTTAAAACTCTCATTAATAATAATAACCCGTTTCTTGAAGGGAGGCAGTGGCTTATTTTGTATCATCATAATGTCTTTAAGATACAAGCTTTTCCAATTGAAATGTGTGTTCTCTTGCCCGCCAACAACTCGTATAAGTATTTGTTTTGGTACAGACTGCCATGCATTCATTTTGCTCCTGAATATTCTCTCTTTAGACAACGTTAATATTAAAATTGGCGATGCAACACTGTTCATGCTGATAAACCTGTATTTCAGTATTTTTATCATAATGATATAGGCTATAAAGAGAATGGATTGAGAGATCTAACATGAGTGTCGTATAATTACATCATAAATATCACTTCATGTTCTATTGTTGGCTTGACTGCACACTAACCACCGAACTGAAAAACACCTAAAAACACAGCACTTTGACCTTAGAACCAGTGACGTAAACGTTTATATGATTGGTTTTCTTTTGAAATATTGTTTGATTTGTGCACCGATCCATGGTATTGCAGAGCAGAAAAATATCCCATATTTCACAATACGCACTGCATCTTTCTTGTCAGTTGCATACAATCAAACTGTACACGGCAATACTATATCGTTAGCTGATAGTAGCGCAGTCTTCATCACAACGGGATAATCCTAAAAAACTACTCGTCAGTACTGATCTTACATGAATTATGATACTTGTAATCATTATGACACACAATTAAGAAGTTAGATAAGTAATGGTTGTCTTATTTCTAGGCCTAGTTGTGACGACTTCAGATACGCGCCATAGTTTGACTGCAATGATTAGCGTGTATTATTCGCCTAGCATTTATTTCATTTTACCTAACCGTTACTGTATACATCGTGATGAACTGACGAGCAATCGGAATGGCAGAATAAGGAAAAGGTAAGAAGGAATTGCTTAATTGATGTTCTATCAAGGCCTCATGTCTATATGAACAAATTTCGGGCATCTGCTCACGCGGTCTCGCTCCGCGGTCTACAACACGTGAAATCGTCTTTGAAAATGCGCTAAGTGTGCAAAGAAATGCTCCTACAAGGAAAAGAAACTATGATTACACACCATCTAGGGTGGAAATCACATATTCAAATACTGTTCTTTCCACTGATACCAATTTCGAACGCATTTGAATACTGGAAAATAGGGCCTTTTCGTCTTCAAAAATGGACAACAATCATTCAATTTGTGATTTCTCTATGGAGGTCACAGGAAAATTCGCCTTTTTCACTGGGGTTGTGTATACTTCAAGGAGATAATGCTCGTAACTACTATTTGTTATTGGGCGGTCTCGGACTCCAAAACATAGGGTATATAATCCCCTGCCGTCTGATGTAACACATAATTTGATTGGTTGTCGAGAAATTAGGGCCAATTTCTATCCAATAAAAAGAAGCTTTCATAAATTTACGCATCGACCTACGTAATTTATGCATTGTGCGTAAGCGAAGTTTTTACACAGCGGACAATGAGGCTTACACACCGTGCTCGCAGCCGTGCGTATTTCGACCACCAAATATGACTCAGCTCCGCGGCGATGGAAAAGACACATTTTATGTTGATTTCAGCAATTTACTGATGGGAATTTAGATACTATGGACGATCTTTTACAAAAAAGGTGTGTAGGGATTAGATTATATCTCTCACGAGACACTGAATTCTTTAGTTTTCCTGAAATTTAGCAAATTAATTGCACTCTGAACTCGCTTTATGAGCAGATCTAAATATTCATGGTCGATCTGCTAGTGAAGGAATCGCGTATTCATATTGCAGGGTGATCCCGCCCATCTTAGACGGGGGGATGACAATGGACTCATGCATTGTGATGTGCATCTGCATCTACTAGACTAACATATATAATTTCCTGATTTGTTTTCTTCTTTTCGGGAGAAGAAGAGGGAAGAGAGAGAGACAAGAGAGGGAGAGAGAGTTGACAAGTCATGCTCGCACAGCGGAGTTGACATTCACACTCTCACCAGTTTTCTACGATAAACCCCGATTTCATAAAAATCGAAGAGTCTGGCACTTGGTGTTACGCTCTAGTGCACTCGAACGTTCGTCGTCTGTGTGGGAGGTACACAAAATGCCTCATTGATCTTTTGGCCGAATGTGGGTCAAATTTGCGGCGGCGGTGGCGGCGGATAGAGGCCGAGCGACTATTAAAGAAGAGACTACTCGCGGAAACCCGAGTGAACGTCAGAGCGAGTGGCCCAGCCAAGTAGCCTTTAGTAATCTGGTTTTGGATTTCTTATGTTAACCCTCGTTTTCGACCGGAATTCTCTACCGAAATGGTAGCGTCCAATCACCGAACGTATCATCGCGTGACGTCTGCATATATTTTCCATCACGTTCACAGTAAACTCTACGTAGTACAAATACCTATAACATCGAACGAAACGAGTTGGACTGGTTCATTTTATATACAGGGCTAATTCTACTTATCTCACTAACAATTGGTAGCTCAAGTCATCAAATGCTTCATATTCTAGTGTAATTCTGCATGATAAATAGATTTGGATGTGATATTTTGTATTAATCATTTATATTTTCATCTCATAAGCAAAACTAGTTTACGTCTTTTATCTTCTTACATGTTTTGATAATGAAAGAATCGCGAGCGAAATAAACTGGAAGATGGCCATTCTGATAGGTCAATAATTCCAGAGTCACGAATAATTCATGCGGAGCAGTAAAGCCATAGTCCAAAAGGCCTTGCGGCTAAAGCCACTCGGGTCTCTAGACTCATCTCAGCCGCTGACTGGGGTGGAAAATAGCCAGAGTCACGAGGCCTTGACAAAAGACTAACCTAAAAGGTAACAATGAGACATTCTGGTCTGTAAAGATTATCAGATTGAGTAGATGAAGTGAATATCATCACCTTTGACCTCCCTATCATAAAGCATGACATGATTTTACACTCTGTCAGTAAACAAGTTGTAATACTCGGTAAGCTGTGAAGGTATATGACGTAGTGGTTAGGGGGTATGTTGTGGTACTGATAAGTTTGAGTATCATGGCAGATAAGAAGTTATAAGTTTAAAGTATTTATTAGTATTCGCATTCACATTGAAAATTATAATTGTTTTTCGATTTGCACGGAAAAGAAAAAGAAAGAAAGAATGAAAGAACGACAATGTTTGATAGGAATTTAATACTTACTTGTACATGTTATTTCTTGATAATTGGTAACATAGAATACATTCCATCTGATATTCCAGACCAGTGGTCAGAACCTTGTTATTTTTTACTAAAATGTGAAAATTTACTTGTTGAATGATATTCCACATATTAATTTGCATACTTTGGCTTGATGTAATATCATGCATGTATATATTGTGAAGTACGTACTGTACAACTTTTGATCTCTGTGGAGTTATCGGTTAATAACTGGCAAAGAAATACCTAGGCCTATAGAGGGTAAATTAGTTTCAGTTTTTCAACTGATTTAAAGGAGCCATGTAGATGACGTTGACTTGCTCAGAAATTTGTCGCCCTCTAGTGGCAGCTGATTTTTGGTTCGATGGAGCAAGCTGAGTTTGTTTGTTACCGAATGTTTTGATTTGTCAAAAATCGTATTCTGAGGGATATTCAGTTCACAAAAGGGCACAGAGGTCAGTATATTTATATATATGATGTTTGCTTGAAATTAAGTACTGTTATGTAAAGGATTATGAAGATTAATTTGGATATAAAGCCAAGTCTGGCTGTATGTAGCGATACGTTAATGTACACGTATAATGTGCGACAGTGTAGGAATTTACGTAGAACGGTAAAACCATTTATGAAATATGGGATAAAGTAAAGAGTAATGACTGATATATATATATGACTTATGACTGTATGAGACAGGTTTCATTTATCAGAGTTATTAAAGTACTTGTATTAGGGTAATTTAGGACAAAGATAAATGAAGTTTACAAGGAGGGGTCTGGAAGGATCTACACTTTCTACTTACATAGAAAGGCATAGGTGGGGCAATGAAAAGTCATTATTCTTTCGTTATTGGAGTTGATTCAATTTAGTATTAGGCTGTCAAGTTACAAGGAGCCATAGAAGCCTTATGAATTGTATGACATAATGATTATAACGATTGGCAAGGGTTTATAGCCAATTATTTGCGTAGATGATTCTGTGATCGATCGAAACTGTAATCGATATAAATGCTCATTTCCTTATTTGGTAACGTATTGACAGATTTGCATATTTACTTATTATGCTTGCAATTTTGTCTTTGTCATACAGTTTTCACGGAGTTACATGGATGGATACGGAGACGTAAAATAAAGATTGACAACTCCCGTAAAAGCTTGTGTCTGACTGAATTTATTGGGTTTTCGTGATCGACAACAGTTACAAAGTTATTGAGGGCTGCAATCTACAAGCATAGCTCGCCAGCAGTCCCCTCCATGACCAACCTGCTGTATATGCTTGTTGTACACTGTGGACCAATTACAACTACAATTTCATTGTTAAAGGGATAGTTGAGTTCTGTTTGCAGACCGCAAGTTCCTTCAAAGTGCATGGTTATTTCTCTTATTTTTATCTATGACATTTCTAATGTCCTTTTAGACCCTAAAATTACTATGAAGTTAATTTCAGACCTTTAATGGTTTGAAATTTAGCCAATACGATCATACCAATTTAGCTCCGCTTTCAAAAAAATACGGTGACCGTTAATTAATTATTTGATTAAAAATAACAATACATGGGCCGGCTAGTTGTGCGTTATATAACCAACAAGAAAATGCCAACAAAAAAGCCAACATCGGCATTGGTTTAAATATGACTTAAAAGGCGCTATTTCAGTGTTTTCAAATTATCTAATATTTGTGGTGGTAAACAAAAACAAAACAAGTATTAAAAATCGTTATATTTTTGGATAATTCAGCCGTTTCTGAATCGATTTTGATCAAACAAAGATGATTATGTCATTTAAATTGTATGTTCTTTCAAATTTGACACTCAGTTTTTCATTATCTCACGCGCCCTCTGCAACAGAACTCAACTATCCATTTAAGTTTCACTGTTTAAATATGTAAAATACAATTCCATGTATTTCATTTCATTATGTTGGAAATGGAAATAAGCGAAATTAAATGAAATGAATTAATATTCGCCCGATTCAGTATTTATTTAAGTTAATTTCTTTTATTGTTCACGATGCAGGTTACTAGCCACCGTTTGCTTCTCATCATGGCGTCCAATTTCCCAGGAGAGAGAGATGAAAAGGTCAAGCTCCAAACTAAAAAAGGTCATGACATGACATGGTCATGTGACAAACACGGGGAGCCAGTCAAATATTACTGCAAAGAGCACAACATCCCCGTTTGTTATCCATGCGCTACAAAATATCATAAGCCGTGTGAGCTAGACGACATCGAGAATGTCATCTTGGAGAAGAAGGGGAAACTGGATGACAAGCAGCAAGAGATAGAGGAAATGAAGAAACAACTGAAAGCGCTTGACTCTAAACTACAGTCCACTGCAACCTCTGCAAGTAATCATTTTCAATCAGTCAACAATGAACTTAAGACGGCATTCGAAGACAAATTAAAGATTGTGAAAGACAAAGAGAAACGATCGATTCGTTCGATCGAAGAGGAGGCGCATAAAGAAATACAAACAAATAACGAAAAGAGGGAAAGACGGATCAAATCATGTCACGAAGAAGCAGAACAACAACAACTAACCATCACAAAACGCCAAGCAAAAGTCGAATCCGAGACAAAGGCAATCAGCGAGGTGGTTGCTAAACAGATAAAAGATCTCACAAGTAAGAATCAGCATGCAATCAGCAATATAGATCATGTTGAAGGCAAGATCAAACAAATACAAAAAGATGACAAAACATTGGTGAATGAAGCTCCTCAAGTACTTGCATCCCTGGATGACAATTTAAGTTCAAATGTTCATCAATATGTTAGCGACTGTCTTGACAGAATACAACGTGAAGTTCAGAAAGTGAAGTTTGTTGAGGGTGAAGTAGGTGGTGAACACTACAGGAGAATTGATGGCTATATCGGTAAATGGGAGCTTGTCAAGTCAATCCACATCCCATCGATCGTGTATTACCCTTTGATGCGTGGTTTGATCAGTGATGATGAGATATGTATGTTTGACGTAAAGAACAAAGTCACGTATGTTGCAAATATCAGCACTGAACACACACAGAAAGTCATTGAAGGAGATGGTAACGTGTGCATTACATCATGCACCATCATGGACAGCAACATAATAGTATGTGGTAAGGGGAATCGAGGCTGCACGGGTGACAGCTTGGATGGATGCATCACTCTCTATGACAGACAATGGAAGGTGATTAGAGACATCACCATACCGAGGAATATAAGCTCTGATAATACTTCTGTGTACGTTGATGTTGACAGGGATGGGATGATCCTCGCTGCTCAGAAAATCCAGTCTAATATCTACGTCATCAACCCTGATGATGGTAGGATAGTAAACACTATTACGCTGCAGGGCAAGGTTTTGTGGGGTAAGATGCAAGCCTTGTCATCAGGTGATATAGTTATTAGGACAAATAAATATGAATTCACTGTCATCTTGCGATCAGGAGAAGAGAAGGTTGCCATATATTGTGATGAGTGGTGCGCGTCATGTTGTCAAGTTGACAAACTGACAGACACACTCTACATCACATACTGGGATGGTGAGCGTTCTATCTACGCAGTTGATCAGGTGTCATGTGATGGTATCATCCAGGCAAGGAGGATCGTGAAACATGAGAGATCAGACCGATGCTCCTTCATTAACCCATGCATCGTTACTCCTTTTGGTAACCTTGTAGCTTGTGGCGGAGACCAGCTTTTTGTGTACAAGAAGAGATTCATTATGTAATTCATCAGAAGAAATTAATTGAATTCCCCATACTGCAGGTGTATTTGACCTGAACGGAATATAGGCTAATCCGATTGTTCATATAAATCAGTTGAAGTTAAGGAATATGTATTTTTCACGATGGAATTTGTTTTCAGTTATTGCATTTGCTATCGGATTATTTCTACTTTATATTAATTTGAAATTTCGGTGCTTTAGAAGTTGCTATCAATATTCTTACCTGGAATAAAACAATAAAATATCACCTTTAATTAATTACAATATATTAATTTCTTAATATGATAATGGAAATTATAATCAGACTAGTTCATAAATTTCTGTAATAAATGACCAACGCGTTTTCAATAGTATTTCTGGGCTATGATAAAGACCGGATGAACCAAAATATCTGATTTTTGCTGGTAATCCCTATTTTCGATTGATTTAGAGTCAATTAAATTGTTTTTTTAAGTTTTCACATGGACCAACATTTCAATGGATAATGGGATTGTATTTAAGCATTGATTGTGAAATGAAAACTCAATCTTAAAGAAGAAAAACAAAACAATGTAGTCATTTCCTTCCGGAGCTACAAAATATTTAAGATCGAAACGAAGACATCATATTAATTAATATTGATATATATATTATTAATTTTTAAACATCACCTACATGGATCCTTGTCATTTGAGTGGGGGATTGTTGGTCACATGATATTCAATAGATGTTCTATTGCACGGGCGTGCATTTTTGGTTATATGCAGACTGCGTACCTCTCTGCCGTGCGCGTATCCTTGCGTGTATCTGACGCGAAGGCAATCTGAATGTAATCGAGAAGGCTTGACTCCAACTTTAATTTATCTTTAATATAAGGAGTAAAGCATAAATTGTCGATTAACGTTCTATTAGATCTTCTTCGATGCTGTATAAAACAAATAATGAATGTTTTTCATTCGTTCAATAGTACGAATATTGTCATTATTTGTGTAATAATTAATACTTTATAATTGTAATTACTATTATTGTAAATGCAAGTAAAATGATGATACTTTGTATTAAAAATGTCAAACAAATTATATAGATTCACAGGCGATTCAGTAAACCTTATAATCGTGTGCATCTATATCAAATCGCACATAAGAATACAATTGTTATATTAAAGTTTTTGTATACTGCTGTCAACATCTATCATAACTATGTCAAACTCAAAACACCTCATGCCCTTTATAAATCTCATCAGTTATGAAGCCTTCTTCAGTTTGTACTTGTATAACTTGTATATATGTATACAAGTAAACTTGTCTTTTTATGTCATCACCCACAATGTTGGCACTGTTCCTGTTAAAGTATTTTTGAGCAAAAACATGTTTGATGTGAGGAATAGTTGTTCGCAATAACTTTTGTCCTCATTTCTCCGTATGGAATGCCTTATCAGATTTATACACAAACTATCATTTCTGTAAATTATTCTTTATAATGTAAAACCTTATTATGTTCGTTGTCATGTTATTATGATTGTCCATGTTTTAAACATAATTTCAGCATTATGTTGCAATGCATGATTTCGTTAAATAAATAACATTTAAATAGAAAAAGAGAATCAGATTCCGTGGGATATGAAACAATGATACTACGACATTCTGAACAGTAAGCTTGTATAAAAGTGTGTTCACTTAGTTCTAGGTTTCATTCCTAGGCCACATTCAGAATGAAATTAAAATGAAAAAAAAACAAAAAAACATTGGGCTTAAAATACAGTTCGCAAACAGTTGCTATTCATGTTGATGATAAAAAGGAGACTGCATACATAACATGTTTTTACTGATATGCCTTTATATATAACTATTTTTCTTTACTCTGTCAGAAAAAAAGAAGTTTGTAATTATCTAAATATTATTGTGTTTATTTTGTCAAAAACATAACCCTGTCAAACATGTAAAGAAGAGTAGTTTTGTAGCAATGTTTATTTTGTTCATTTTCATTCTGTTATCTGAAGAGTAGTTTTACGAAAATGTATATTTTGTTCATTTTCATTCTGGTATTTGAAGAGTAGTTTTATAGACATGTTTAATTTGTTCATTTTCATTCTGTTATACACAATACATTTTCAAAAAAATTATGTAAGCCTGGCTTTTTATTTCATCAGCACAATCAATTAAATTCAAGAATAAAATAAGAACACATATCAGTATTTGTCACTCTTTCAGTATGAAATTCAGAAAAGTATTGTCACAAAAAGAAAGAGAAAATTAGCATTGAATAAAGTTGGAATAGATTTAAAAGATATAAGCAGGAGAAAGGGGAAATTTGAATAGAGAGAGAGAGGGGGGGGGTGGGAGACCCCCAAATGAAACAAGATTTCGTAATCATATCAAAGAACCAGACATGTGGTCGTGCTAGCTACGATACACGAGCAATATTATGTAAGAAATATTGCGGATAATATTACACATCAATACCACATCGAAGTGTTTCATGATTAATCAACGTCCTCGTTTTGACCAGAGTTGGAGGTATTAGGCCTATCCTCCTACGACCAAGCATGTGTCTGGAACTAGATATTCACGATTGGCTGCTTCGCTATAACCATGTTGATCGTTATGACAATGACAGTGATGATGATGATGATAATGACGGTGATGATGATGATGATGATGAGGAGGATCATGGTGATGACGAAGAGGAGGAAGATGTTCATGTATAATTACCATGGTTGTAGAGTGCTGCCCATAAAGTTTGAATAATTGTCTCCTATTTTTTTTTTTTTTACGATTGTAAAATTATAATTGATTATTGATGTATTATGTTTATATATTTTCTCATAGCTTGATTGATCCATCTCTATGATTTTTTGAATTAATCAAAACATTTCTGAGAAGCTTTAAATTGTAATCTATCAAGAACTAATCACTACAACTTTATGACAAGAGGTTATAATCAATTAATCCAACTTTATTGGCAGTGTATGAGTATACCGTGGTGATGGTACACCATCTTCTATGCCTTCATCATCATTATCATCACCTCGAACGTCATCATATCACATCTTCATTTTCAGGAACTATTACCATATTATTAGAATGATCACCATGATTTGTCGATTGAAAATCTATATTGTGTTCTTAAAGGTATAGACCAGTTCTGGTCATGCGATTGCATTGTGAAAGAAACGTTGTGGAATCGATCAGAAAAGGTTATTCATTTAACATATAAGTATCGGTGTTAACTCCAAGGTTCTGGAATCATCACAAATATAAGAAATTTGACCCAGTCTTGATAAAGTTACAAGGACAGTACACAAAAAAGATGTATATGGGACTACGCAATAAATTATCAATTAGAAGGCGGTTTCCCGGCAAAAGTTGTAACATCAAATATTAGTCAAAACATATTCTTTCACATGACTATTATATAGAGCTTCCATTTCGTTTTTTGAGAAGGGAGTGTTTCCAAAACTGATCTATACCTTTCAGCTTAAAGGGGAAGTCCACCCTGAATTAAGTTAGTTTTAATAGGAGTAGAAAAATGAGAGAAACAAGTCAGTGAAAGTTTGAGCAAATTCCGATTAAAAATAAGGAAGTTAGGATTTTTTAAGTTGTGATCAATCAAACACAAATTGGCAACTCTATGACGTATCATGCGAGCTCAACTTCCATTTGCTCAGTACTAAAAAAATCTAAAATTTTCATTTTCCCTCAAGAAAAATTTCAACCATACATGCACCCTAAATATAATAATTGCAAATATGTTTCTATACTCCCCCTGCAAGGAACAAATATATATTCCGTCATCAATAACGAAGAAAACATGATTTTATGGAATATTATGCACAAAGCAAATGAAGGAGAGCTCGTATAATAAGTCACAGAGTTGCCAATTTGTATTTTATTGATCACAACTTCAATAATTCATAACTTTCTTATTTTCATTCAGAATTTGCTCAAACTTTCACTCACCTGATTTTCTTATTATTCTGCCTCTATCGAAACAAACTTATTTTGGGGGTGGACTTTCCCTTTAAGGTTGCTTGCTAGTAGTAGCTCAGTGAGTGCTCAAAACGACTCGCCTTTTTGTTTACAAAGTAAACCATTTTTTTGGAAATCTTCATTCGAAACTGACAAGTCTAATGTTTTGGAGGCAAATGGGGCTATTAATAGTACATCAAAAACAGAACGATATCCATTACATAATCATTGCAATTAAAGGTGAAAACGATTTGTAATTGTCTACTTGGAAATTTGATTTGTTAATCCTCAAGACTTTGTTTTTAGCTTGTTCCAAAATCAGTTTTCAAAAATGGTTAATTGTTTCTAAATTGAGTCGGTGCAACGACAAGATGGTTGGTATCATGCAACCCCCTTCTATCCTTCTGTAAAGCATGTGTATGATAGCAAGTTCCTCATATTGTAACAACACATCTTTTCAATCCACTTGCTGAAGATGGAATGGTTTATATTGCGGTCGATCAGATCTAACAGGAAACAGAACTCAATGGCCCGAATTCACAAACCTCCTTTTGTTCTTTACAAACCAGGTTTGTAAAAAACGCGTAAAACGCGTCATATGACGTACGAAAACCAAGGTTTGTCGACAAACCTCCTTTGTGAATTCGGGCCAAGATGTCCCGAAAGTATGGATTCCCCCGTGATCCATATGCAAACGCTGATATAATGGTTAAACATGTCTCACCAAGCGATGACGCTCTGCTATGCTGTCGAATAGATCATAGGTTGATTAATGTATGTTAAAGGGAAAGTCCACCCCAAAAATAAGTTTGTTTCGATAGAGGCAGAATAATAAGAAAATCAGGTGAGTGAAAGTTTGAGCAAATTCTGAATGAAAATAAGAAAGTTATGAATTATTGAAGTTGTGATCAATCAAACACAAATTGGCAACTCTATGACGTATCATGCGAGCTCAACTTCCATTAGCTGAGTACTAAAAAAATCTAAAATTTTCATTTTCCCTCAAGAAAAATTTCAACCATACATGCACCCTAAATATAATAATTGCAAATATGTTTCTATACTCCCCCTGCAAGGAACAAATATATATTCCGTCATCAATAACGAAGAAAACATGATTTTATGGAATATTATGCACAAAGCAAATGAAGGAGAGCTCGTATAATAAGTCACAGAGTTGCCAATTTGTATTTGATTGATCACAACTTCAATAATTCATAACTTTCTTATTTTCATTCAGAATTTGCTCAAACTTTCACTCACCTGATTTTCTTATTATTCTGCCTCTATCGAAACAAACTTATTTTGGGGGTGGACTTTCCCTTTAATAGTAATAGTTGGGGATGGTGCGCTTCACTCTCGAATGATAGGGCAAAGTAGCTCACTCGCAGACGATCTCCCGAGGCCTTTAACGTAATAGTGGAGGGCTTCATTTTGGTTTAATTTGAAATTGATAACCACTTAATCCGCCCTTGGGCAAATATGGATCTTGATAAAAGCCCCTTTACCATACAACAGTGGTTATATTTTATTTCTCGACAATACACAAGTGAAGTGAATTCAAAGACACCCCTATACCCTCTGCAAAGTTGTTG